GCACAACCTTGGTGAAACCAGCTTCACCTGTTGGATTGATGATGGCTGGTGCCAGGTCACAGGTGAACACAGCTTAGTGAAATCCTGACTCTGCTACCTGCCAGCACTGTTACAGAACATCTCCAGGTCTCAGCACCTTTACCTGTAAAGTGGGGATAGTCACAGTCACTGCCCCACAGGGTTGCCTCGAAGACGGAATGAGTCCCTACTTATCGAGTGCACTTGGCACAGTGCTAGGTACACAGTAAGTGCTCATAACGCTCAGCTATCATTACCATCCAGGCTCACCGCTTTGGTGAACAGTGGTGGAGTACTCGTTTTCATACCAGCTTACAAACGTCTTGAAATCCTCAAACGCTCGTCAGCCCCAGCCCTACTCATCACAGATGCCACCCTCTCCCCTCTGACCCTCCTCCTTACGTCACTCCAGCATTTCCCAGGCCACCGGGCTGAGGACACGAACAGCTCGAAGCAGCAAATATGAAAATCCAAGCGAGAGACAGAAAGACTGCCTTCAATTCCGGCTCATTTTCTCAAGACCTTACCAGGTGAGAGGTGTAGCTTAGATGGGTCATCATGGCCATGAGCGACGGGTGTGTCTGGGTGTCTATGCGACATCAAATTCAGGAGGCATGACAGGTCTGGGGTTGTTGAGTGGCCAGTGCTAATAAAAGTCACACCCTGCAGCTTCTGAGCGGGGCAAAAAAAACCTGTCCTAGACCATGGCTGGCTGCTTGGGCCAGTGAGTCAAGCAAGAGTGGAAGAGAGGGAAGAGGAGAAACATGGGGACGGGTCGCCATGGGGGGACATCCCTTGTCCTGCCTTCATCTTTGTAAAGAGAGGCTTCACTTACTTTCATAACCTCCACCAGCGGGAAGGCTTTGTCCTGTGGAAAGGCCTGGCTCCCACTTGTGTCTTTGGCTCTGTGGCCTGGACTGTCCCCGGTTTCCGGTTAGGCACCCACTCGTCTGTCTGCCGCTGAGAGATGTGTTGCACCCACCTCCTGCCCCACGGAGCAGAGCGGAGAAGCAATGTGAATTCCAGGGTAAATACCACTTAGAGCTCATCGTGTCTACTGCTGCCCTTAAAGTGACAGGTGTGGTAGCAAGAGCCCGAGGACAAGACTCACAAGGTGCCCCATTCTCTCCCTGTGGCCTGCACTTAAGCTCTCTAGACATCAGTTTCTTCATCTATAAATGCAGATAAGCTGTTGGAAGAAACGAGCCATAATTTCGTCAGCTCTAAAGTCCGACAAAAGTGGAAGGCGTTATGTTATGATTCCTCTCACAGCTCCGGGAGTTGAGGGAAGCTCACTCAACAAAGCTCTTGTCTGGTCCGGTCTGGCACCTTGAGGCCAGCCTCAGCCGGCCGGTGACAGACCCAGCAGCTTTCTGGGTCCTGTCCTAGCATTGCATCATTTGGGGCGGAGCAGGGTGAGGCTGAGCGAGCAGAATCCAAAAACAGCTTCCAGACTTTTACTGCCAGGAGGACGGAGAGCCGTGTGTGGGGTTTCAGAGAGACAAGTTGGTACGTGGCTTTGATCTTTATCAGGCTAAAAAGTTTCACGCAAAATACAAAAAGGGCAGATTTGTGAGTGTGTGTGTGAAGGGGGTGGGTGAGAGAGGGAGCGAGATCCCAACACTGTCACTAGCAAAGAACGATTTCCAAATGCCTGTCCCAGCCTTGTGAAACCCTTCTTGGTCGAGATGAAAGAGTTCCTAAGACAATCGGAGAAATACTCCCACTAACAGATTTCCAGATGCCTTCCTGTGCTCCAAGGGACAGGAGGCCTTTGTATCTGCCCACATTCGCACCACTGCCTGCCTCCACCCACCACAGCAGAAAGAAAAGTGGAATAGAGCACACATTACTCCATGTAGGCTCTAGGCCTGGTTACAAACCAGGCGGCTCAAGCTGAATCTCCCTTTAGAGAAGGCCCATCGCACTCATCTTCGTGTAGTTCTGGGTCTTTTAACATTCACACAACACCTGCTGGGTGCAGGAATTGCAACAAACAAAACCCATACCTGTCCAAATGCCACTGCCGCCACCCCCACCGGTCTTGCTGCTCATGTCTTCACCATCCCCTCCTCCTGGGCCACTGACTATAGCTTGCTTTCCCACACAGGTGACCTGGGCGCTGGATGGTGGGAGCACTGACCTCTTGCCCTGAACACCAAACTGGGTTGCCCCAGCTCTGAGACCCACTTAACCATTTGCTGCCAGAGTGTGGAACCAATGCTAATCTTACAGGAAACTTTCATTTGGTCATAAAAGAGTTGATCTTGCCTCTGGAGTGACTTGCGGGAACTGCCTACAATTCTCACAGCTACAGTCCAAGTATCCGACTCAGAGGTGGATTTCTTTTTGTCTTTTCAATGGACAGTTAACCTTCACCAAACTCAGTCACCACCATAGTCCGATAACTGACACTTCAGCTTCCAGAGCACAGAGTTTCTTTTAATTGGGCCTTCCTGGTGGATCTGTATTTTTAACTGAAATATAGTGGGTACTAATTTAACTGCTGTGGGTGGTTTAAATAAACCCTTATTTTGCATTTTGAATTTTCCTCCTGATGCACTTTAAATGGAAATGTATCAAGTAAATGGACATTAATATTTTTAAATGATCGTCATAATCCCTGGAGAGTGGACAGCCAGGACCTCTCTGCCTGGAACAGCTGCTTGTTGGCACAAAACTCCAAGAGAAGTAAGTGGGCAAGAAACAATTCGACAGCTCTTCTTGGCCCACGATGTTGCCTTAGTAAGAGCGACCAGATTCGCGGGCAGAAAGCAGGGCCTTCTCAAGGAGCCCACGGGCAGTGTGTCCTCCCTAAAGGGCTCAGCCTCCGCTGCTTTCCCAGGATGAGCTCAGCTGAGCCTCCTCCTGCGTCCCGGGTTCCTGGGATCCGCAAAGCCTCCTCCAGGGAGCGACCGGGGACTTACTCTCGGCTCCGAAAAAGCCCTGGGACAGCCGGTGGAAGTGGCGGGCGTGGGGGGTGGGTAGTCTGGGCCTGTGCTACTGCAGCCTGCGGATCGGGAGGCCGGAGCCCGCGCCCGGGCCCTTTCCAGGTGACTCCCAGCGCCCGCCCGCCCGCGAGCCTCGGGCGAGGAAGGCCTAGTCACTGGGCGCGGCCTGCGCGGTGCTGGGCGCCCAGGCGTCCCGCCGCCCCTCGGCTCTCAGCTTTTGGGGTGCGTGGCGAGAAAGCGCAGCGAATGGCACCAGCCCACGACCCCCGCCTCAGCCTCTAACCCCGGGAGAGCGCACCGAGGCCCTGAGCAGCTGTCCCCTCGGAACTGGCGTCCTTCTCTGCTGGAGGGGGGGGACATAGGGAGCAGCCCTCGGGAAAGTAGCAGGCTGGAGGAGTGGTGGGGCAGAGGGACCCCAACATGGAGGGGCACCGGCTAGACCAGACCTGCGGACCGGACAGCCCCGGCCGCAATGGAGCCTCTAGGGCTGCCTTCCCGGGCGCGGCGGGGAAGAAGCCTTCTGCGACCCGCAGGCCTCACCCCCGGCCGGGCCGCCACAGGTGCCTTCGGATCAAAGACGGGGTGAATCGCACCCCTTCCAGGGGCCACCCCTCTATGCCGAGCTCCTCAGGTGATTGCTTTAGTAACAGGGGGTCTGGAAGGAATAGAGGCGGGGTCCCCCGGGGGCAGGGAGAGACCTAGGGGACACGAGACGGCCAGGGGCTAAAGGCTACCGATGAAAAGCCAAAGGGCGTCAGCTCGAATCTCTCAGAGTGTGATTTTAACTCACGGAGAGGCGCAGCATATGGTTTCCATGTTGGGCGGCGGATACAAAGAACTGCTTGGAGCCAAGGGAATCTCTTGACATCGAAACCCAGCAATCCCGATTTGGGGGGGGGGCCTGAGTGGCAGCGGGCTGGACTTTTGGTTGAGTTGCAATTAAAAGGAGATAATTATGCCAAGCCTCTCAGCTTATTAATATTTATAGCTGGGAGCAACAGAACTCCGCTCCCTGGGGGCGGACTTTTCAGGCCCAGGAGCGGAGCCCCGGTGTCTCCGAGCCTGGGGCTTCACCAGTGACCCGGGAGGAGAAAGTTTAGTGGGTAAAATGGGAATCGTCCGCCTTTGGCGTTTCTGCTAATTACGTGAGCGGTGAAAGGCCCGGATGCGGGTGAGCCCTGCGGCCACTGCCGCGGTGCGTGCGCCCCGAAGGCGGCTGAGCGGGGCCGAGCACCTCGCAGGGCCGCCCGCCCGGCCGAGGGCGGCTAGCGTTTCGGAAGCCCTGTTATTTTCTCTTTATTAATTACCCAAACATTGCCTTCCTGCAATATGTTTCGAGCTCCCGGGACAGACGGCGTGTTAGGAAATGTTCCAATAATTAGGACTCGGTGTAGATGCCGTTTATGCTCCCTACCTCCCCTCTGAGAGCCTGCAGGGCAGGGGCGCGGGGTTAAATGCAGGGCCCTCGCTTAGGGGAGGTTCTGCAAAAGCGCGCACGTCGGACCTCCAACTTTCTGTGTGCGAGGGTCCCAGCTGGGTCCGAGGGCGTCGGCGAAGGCGGGGACCGGCGGGAGGAGCTCTCAGCGCCCCGCGTCGCGTCTCCGGCCGGGGGGGGGGGTTGGGGCCGCGAGGGACCGGCGGGGAAGGAGGGGCCGCGCGGGTCGGCCCGGTCCCGGCCTCCACCCGGGGCGGCGCACCCGACCTCGGGGCTCCCAGCGGGCTGCTCCCGGCCCCCCGGCACCGCTTACCGAGGGTTTGCCACGTGCATACGCCGTTGTCTGATTCCTGCTTTCCCGCACCGGTGATGGGGGCGGGGGGACGCGCGTCCCTCCGCCCCCCCCCCGCGTCCCTGGCGTGGGGGCGGCTGCGGAGCGGGTCGATTCTCGCGTCATAAACGCTGGGTTCGGCGGGGGCGCCGCCGCGGTTCCCATGGCAACGCGGCGCCTCGAGGCAGCCGGCGAGTCCCGGCGGCGGGATGCTGCGCTGCGAATGGAGCTCTTCGCTGTGGCCGCCGCGGCAGCCATCCTCTTCTTACTGCTGGTCTTCCTCATCTTCATCTCGGTCTACGTGGGCTCGGGGCCTCTCCACCAGCCTCTGCTCCAGAACTGTTAACTGAAGGAAGAGGAATTTGTCGTCGCACGGCGTGTTCCCGATGAAGCTGCGCGCCCCCAAGGATCCTGCTCCATCCTGTGGGTACAGTGCCTCTGGCACCCAGGCCCAGAGGTGGCGGCACCAGACATTGCTCCACGGTTGTGCAAGGCCCCTCCGAGCCGCTCCGAGGGCTGGTGAGCCCTGACACCAATAAACGACGAGGAAGACTCCCTGTTTATGAAAAGGGGGATCGACAGGACTTAATTATGATGATTATGGATTACAGCATAAAGGCATATTTAACAAAGAGATCGAGTAGGCATTGGAAGCGAGTTTTCTTTACACATCTCTCTCTATGCACACACTCGCACCTGAGAAGGAAACGTTTTTGTCAGGCACAAAATGATTTTTTCTATTTATCCATATAAAGAACGTGTGTCACTCACGGATGGCGGAGTGAAACGGGGGGAACGGTGGCACTAGGTAATTCACCATGAGCAATATGCTGCCTCAGAAATAAAAGCTCTACGGTTTATTCAGTCCACTGCCATGTATGTGTGTGTATAGCCCTTTTGAACGTGAGCCCAGCTTTAAAAACAATGTGGTGATGATGACAACCTTCAGTTTTATCAGGGGAAAGTCGATCTGATAGAAGGGTAATCTATTCCATGCTAATTTCCAGTAGGTAAAACACTTGCTCTTTGTGGCTTGTTTACACTTATTGCTTGAAATAGATAATGTATACCGACGTTTTCTTTTTCCTTTTCTTGACTTCCAGTACTGTCTTGGGTAACTGCCATATTATCCATTCCCCACCCCCTTATCCTGCGTGTTTCTATTTTTTAAAATAAGCTTTTAAAATTTTAGAATAGTTTTAGGCTTAAGGAAAAGTGGCAGAGTTTTCCTATACTCAGCCCCCAGTTTCTCCTATTGTTAACATCTCACGTTAGTGTGGTACATTTGTCACAACTAATGAGCCAATACTGATATATTATTATTAACTAAATGCCGTATTTCATTTGGATTTTATTCATTTTTAAAATTTTCCTTTTCCTGTTGTTAGATCCCATCCAAGATATCACTTTACGTTTAGTCCTCATGTCTCTTTAGGCAGTGATGGTTTCTCAGACTTGTTTCTGGTGACCTTGAAAGTTTGAAGATTTGTTCAAATTGAGGTACAATTTACCTATAGTGAAAGCAGAGACCTCACATTATGGTTTTATGCATTTCAACAATTGCATACACCTATTACAATCCACCTTTGCATAGTAAAAACATCAAATCTTATATTGGAAATATTGTCACACAAATAATGCAGGTGTATTTGTGTAGCTTCTCCCACATATGTACACAGTTTACTAAAAAGTTTCCCACAGCCTTTCATCTCTAACTTAATATTTTAAAATTTTCAGTTCCAAAGCATGTTAAAGAGCTATTAGCCTAATGTTATTTTAATATGTTGTTGATCATTTAGCTCACTAATCTTCTTTTGGACACAATTTAAGCTACTGATTGTTCCCTACTCGAGAACATTTTCTTCTCTGTGGAGGGTATAGTCCAGGCGTGCTCCTTAAGAAATCAGACAAATTGGGGGATGAATCAGTCTGGGAAGCTTACTGGGGTGGCTTAGCAATTTTAAAGACATTTTCTTCATTTTGAAGCTCTTAATATTAAAGCAATAATTAATGCACTCATTCATGCACAGCTCTTGGGGGAGTTGTTTTTCAGCAATTTTGTCATAGATCGCTGATTCTCCTAATTGTAAAAAAAATTGTTCCACGTTTTCTTAGGTCCTTGAGAATTTGACACATGATATAACCCCCAAAGGTATATTTTTAAGTGATGTTAGCAAATAGGAAAAAAGAAAGATCTTACAACATTGTGAACGTGGATTCTATAACCTAGAACTTGATACAGACACGTACATTTTAAATCAGTGAGTAAAGTACTCAATTAATAGAATCTAATTTCCCCTCATTTCTGTGGTGTTTCATGCTAGCAGGCTTAGTGGATCACATTTTCATGGTTAGTAATACAGAGTAGCGGACATCAGAGAGAAAATGCAAAATTTAAAGTCCTGTTTCTCCTCTTTGTCATTCACCATTCATGCACAACTATTTTTAAGAAACCCACAAACTTGCCCAGTGGGGTGGAGAACTTCTGACCACGTTCAGTTGAAGCTGATCATGTCGGAGGACACTTCTGTCAGTAATTCCAGGCCCTGCCTCTCAGAAGAAATTTTTGGCTAACATAGCTTTTTAAGGTCAGGCCATTTTGTGCCAACACAATTCACATTATCTTTCCCAGTCCACAAGTAAAAACCAAGCCAATGAGGGTAGAAGACTGTTCAAAAAGCATGGGTAGCAGCAAGCGGATGATTTTCATTCTTTTACCGCAACAAAAGAAAATTTAAAAATCTGTGTAATTATTTAAATATATTTTCCACACGTTATTAAGAAAATCTTAATCCCTACTCAAGCCACATAATATGAACAAATATCATCCAGAAAGATAACTCTGAGGGGGAGAATATGAATTTTTTGAGGAGTAATGCCTTTCTCATGAAATCTACCCTTAATTATAGCTGAGAAAAGACAAAATGGTTAAAGAACTTAGCATGTGCATTTTTAAATTATTTTCCTGAATTTAGATACGCCGTGCCTATGGAAAAGGATGTCAGAAACAAAAATCTGTGTTTTTCGACGTGCTTACGCATCATATTTCAGCCATTGTCACTCACCAGCTGAGGGCTCAGCTGAGTAAAGCCTGACAGAGTCGTGTGTGCCTTGCTTCAGGGCACACACGTGTGTGGCTCTTGAATGCGGCCCCTGAAATTAGCCAGGACCATATCTGGTGCCACCACAGGCTTGCAGGTGACCTTAAGCATGTCACTTAACTCTGTGCCCTCAACTGCAAAATGGGGATAATACCTAACTTTATAAAATTATTGTGAAGATTAAATGAGACATACATAACACTCAGAATGGGAAGCATGTAAGAAGCATTGGGTAAATGATAAATATCATTGTTTTTATTGTTACTAAGTTTCAACTAGCTACTGTAGCCAGGTGGTAGATTATATGCTGGGTTTTCAGTAATGGAGTAAACAGATGTGTTACCGCATGGAGCCTAAAAACAATCCCTAAATTTGTGCCCCTTTTGTCCCATCTATTTTAATTTAAGAAGCACTTATTTCTGGCCTATAACACTGTGCTAAATGCTGTTGATGTTGCTGTGTTCTTGTTCATTGTCACAAAAGAGTTACAAACGAAAAGGAAATGTAACTCTTAGCCAGCCTATCCAAGCCCGGGGTGGATAAGCTGTGTAATCACACACAGATCCTGATAAGATTCCCCCAGGAACAGTGAAGACTGGACCAACTCTAAAGTCTCCTCCATTTACCCAACAGACATTAGCAAGTAGCAAGCAAGTGCCAGACGCTGTTTGGAGCTGGCTATTATTCATAAATAAGATACCGTCCCCACCCTCAAGATGCTTATGGTGCACTGGGCAAGATACAAAATTAAATATAGATTAGGGTTCCCAGGATAAGTGCTGTGACAGAGATGCAGGAGATGTTGTGTGAACAGATGGGACATCTAGCACACTGAGGGGTGCAGATAAGCAAGAAAAATCTCCCAGAGAAGATGCCTAATGTGGGTGTCGAGGAAAAACTGTGGCGTTGATCCAGGTGAGGAACGTGAGAGCCAAGCTGAGAAAGGACTGTGGATGGAGAGAAGAGATTTGGTTCCAGACGAAGAAGAGGCAAAGACTGGCTACCAACTGGCTATGAGGAATAAGGGAGAGGAGAGAGTGAAGGAAGATCCCAGGTTTCCATTTGGGGGACCGGATGGTTGGTGGCGCCATTGACTGAGAGGGAATCCTGGAGAAAGGGCAGGTTTGGGGAGGAAGATGTCTAATTTGATCTCAGATACAAGAGCTTGAGGTATTCAGGGGACATGCAAATGGAGATGTCCAGTCTACAGATGGTTATAAGGTTCTGAAGGTGGGAGGGTGGTGGGAGGGGCAGTAACATGTATATGCAGGGTGATGAGAGCGCATCGCTGTGGCCTTACGAATGAGGGGCAGTGTACCCAAAGAAGGGATTGGAGCAGAAGACAGGCTAATGGGTGTCACTGTCATCATATGCAATTCCCAGCTCTAATTAATGTTAATTAATGTTCTCAGTCCAATTAATGTTCAATCCAAAGGAAAATAAGAATTTGAGAAGTCAACCAATCTCCTGGGTGAAATCCCTATGGTCTAGGAAGAGAGAACATGTAACAGTAGGAGAATGGAGTGGAGAGGTGATACCTGACTTGGAAACACGAAAGACTGCTACAAGATATTCTAGGGTGTTCTATATGATCATTCCTATAATCTTAATCCTTTTAGGTTGGGATAATTTCCTGTGAAAAATAGACTTACAGTTTTCAGTGGGAAAATAGCATTCACTTTGTAGAAAGTCACTTGAGGACTAAATCGAACACATAGTCCATTCCTAAAATAGAGGATGTACAGAATTATAGTTAGTTCCCTTATTTAGCTTAAAATGTTTAACTATTATAAAATTTCTCAAGGAGTTTTAAGAATCATGGAAATGGATTATAACAAGTACATTTCACTCCTGCCAATTCCTTTGTTTATTCTTCTTGGCACACTATTAACCAAAATATGAACATAATACTATGAACAAAGAAATCATTCTCACTGACTCAAATGGCCTAATTGGAGTGGGTGTTGAGGGAGAGACTAATTCATAGCTTCCAAGAGATAGTGTGGCACGGCCTGGGCATTAGGGTGACGGGGGGAATTTTAATCCTGCCAGGCTTTCCCTCTTGCTAGCTACTTGACCTTGGCAAGGTCATACCTCCAATTGGATACCACACTAGTACTTTTCCTACTTGTTATGAAGATTCAATCAGGTAATTTATGTAATGTCCTTAGCATAGTACCTGCAACGTAACCGTCTCAATACATTTAGCTATTACTGATAACTCACTTAATTCTTTGGGGCCAAGTTTTTTTTAGAGTAAGTTGGTCTCTCTTGGGTTACTTTACTTCTCAACGTCAAGTTCTTCCAACAAGCCATCCCAGAACATGCTATTGTCCAGAGAATTATGCCTGCGTTTAAAATAAATGATACCAGAAGGAATGGCCCTTATTTCAAGAACCGTAATTTTGCATCAATAAAAACCAACATAAAGTTTTAGGTAAAATTGAGACTTGCCTCTATGCTTCTCCTCACCTATAATGGCAGGAGTAACAAAAGGCATTTTTCCTCTCTGAGGAAGGCAACACTTTCCGACTTGTGGTTTTTCCGCAGCTCTCCAAATGTTTCTGAAAGAGGCCTGCAGGGTGAACACTGCAGCCTGGAACATGAGACCAGCCCCGTGTCAATGACCTGCTCTAACGTCAGGAGCTTAGTTAAACCCAAGTGTAAACGCTGCTTCTTTGAGGGCTCGGAAACTAGCACAGTAACACTCCACGGCAAGAGGGAGTGTAAGTTTAAATGTTGTTTCTGACAACGGGTCACTTTGAATTGAGCAGAAAGCTACCTTTGGCCCACATCCCTTCCAGCCGAGAAGAGGTCTGGGGCCAAAGGCTGGTAGGAGGTGTGCCTTGTGGGAAAGCTGCTGGTCCACATTGAGAGCCAGAAACTCTCCAGCATGGGGAGAGCTCAGGAGAGCACTTTGGGGGTATAGGAGGTCCAGGGAGTGTGTTGTATTTTGTTCTCCAGCTTTTTGGCATCAATACATCCTACAGGCCTATGAGGGGGAAGCAGATGGGCTTCCCTTCCTGTTTGCTCATGAGGCCATCACTTCTGCCATTCCCAAACCTTCTTGTGCACTCAGTATTTTTCAGTTGCCTGGTTTCTCCCCTTGAGTTAAGAAAGGACTCCAGAGTGAATCAAGGGGTATGGGGTTAGGAAGTGAAGGGCCCCAAAACCTGGAATCACATCCATGGCTATTTCTTAGGCAAAAGAGTAAATATTTATGAAATATTTGTTGAATGGCGAATCATGGCATAGACACATGTCTGTATTCTTAATCATTTACTTAAGTGATGCTTCATCACCTTTTCCCGTGAGGAACACTCCTATATTATCCCATTTTTGACAGGCTAAAGTGAGCCCCACTAAATTAAATAATTTCTTAATGGCAGCAAAGAAGTCAGCGGAACTAGAATTTCAGATCCCTTCATTTTGAGCTGAACCAACACACACACACACCTTCCAGTATTAAAAATACCATTTATAGAAACTTCCTTGACAAAAATGCAGAAAATAGGGATGAGTGACATATATGTTAAGTGTTAAATTGTTTCCTGTATTTTTATATTAAGCAAAAAGGGCAGAGCACATTACCAGAATCCTGATTTTTTTGACATAGCATTTGCTTAGGATTATTTCTGTTTCTCAGGAAACAGCTTGAACTGCATTAACTACATGGTTGTGTTCTTAAAAAATTCATTTTCGGTCTAATTCCAGCACACGTCATAGCAGACACTTCCAGTATTTGTTGTCACCTGGAATAAAATAAAGAAAGAAGCACAAGCTTGTGTAAGAAGGACAAGTGTCAAGCCAATGCACAAGTTTAATATTGTTAATAGCTGATTGTGTACAGTAATTATATTTTCTAAACCAAAATCTGGCATCTGATCTGGAAAATACATGTGGGAACAATATGGCAAATATTTAAAACCAGAACAGTCTCAGAAAATTTGGATGATCTTCTTACTGTATTATTAAATGTGGAGAAAATATTTTGGGATAACTCGGAAATACATGAACATTCGACTAATGTTTTTCATTGTACCTTTTCAGTTCTTGTTCTGCATATTTGCCTACCCCTTACAAACCTAGAATAACTATTAGTAATGACAATTCAACTTAAGAATCTTAAATATTAAACTATTAAATGTTAAACTTCAGATAATATACTGTTAATTTTCCCCACAATAAACTCCAAAGACTACATCTATAAAGGCACCGGAAAATGGTACATTGAATAATGTCAATGTGGGCAGACATAGTAGAAAATCAAACAAGAACATCTTTCCCCTTGATTTAAAAATCTGTATTTTCTCTGAATTACAGAGCTGCTTTTATTTATTCTGGTTTTTAGTGACTGCCAGAGATATCGTTATTTGCTTGATCTGAATGAAAAATAAAAAGAACTCAGAGAATTATAATAGCTGGAAAAACTTACTTACTGAGTACTTACTATCCACTAGTGTCAAAGCTCAGATACAGAAAACGAACAAACAGCCAAACCAACATATGGCCAATTGGCTTCTGGCCTCAAGGAGCCTCTAAGGAAACAGACCAATACAGGGATAATTGCAATACAATGTGGCAAGGTTTTGATGGGGCAAGAGTTCACACCAGGAACTGAAGGACAGCTACTTGCCCTCCGTCACACAGCCGGTGAGTGGTTGGACAACATCATCCAACATGGTGGATACTTCATGGCACTGTCTCTTGGATAGTCTCCACTGAAACAGAGGGCTCAGGATTTCACAGAAGGTATATAAAATACACTCATGGGGATAAAGATAGGTGGATAAGTCTTGAGAGTAAGTCTTAAATCACCTAGCATGCTGCTTATAGTGATCTGTTTCTGCTCAAGAAGGTTTTAAAATCCAGTCTTAAGAGTAGGTACAAAAATGCAAAACTCGGGAAGGCAGGCACTGCTTGATAAACTGCAAATTGTAAGCTTGATACAATCATTTCGATGGTCAGATTAGCCCTGATTATGAACTAACAACAATGTATTTGCTCATTTACACGTTCTAAGAGTTTGATATTGGCCAAGTTACTAACTTCACTGTGCTTCAACTTCCTCATCTATAAAATGGGATAATATTAGCATCTACCTCTCAGGGTTGTTGTGAGGATTAAATGAGATAATTCATGTAAAGTACTTAGAATTTTGCCTGCTACATCGTTCTATTATATGTATATATTTTTTAAAGATGTATTTATTCATTTTACATATATATAGAGAGAGAGTACGAGCACGCACAGGGAGAGACAGCGGGAGAGAGAGAGGCAGAGAAACAGACTCCCCACTGAGTGGGGAGCCCCATGCGGGGCTCAATCCCAGGACCCCGAGATCATGACCTGAGCTGAAACCAGGAGTCCACCGCTTAACTGACTGAGCCACCCAGGCGCCCCCATAGTTCTATTATATTTCAAGCCAGAGTATAAGTAGTGTCTGAAGTAGAGATATCAATGAAAGGGAATAGATACAGTTTAAATGATTAGGTTTGGGAGAAAGGCAGAATTTATATCCTGAAATGTTCCTTTGTTCTTTTATTTATCATTCATGTGAGAATCATTTGTTAAAAATACCACCCTTATCTTTTAGAGATTCATACTGAAATATTTGTGGATGAAATTATGTGGTAGCTGGGATTTATGTAAAAACAATACAGTGGGTGGGGGCTGGAGAAGGAAGGAGTATAGAAACAAAGCATGATTAGCCATATGTTGATTATTATTGAAGCTGGCAACAGGCATGTGAAGCTTAGTTAGACCTGCCTTCATTTGCGCGTATGTTCAAACCCATACCAAAAAAGTTAGAAAATAATAGTAAGGTCAGGATTCATAGCTACTGTCTGTTCCTATGTATAAATTCTCTGGTGGAGATTGAATGTCCAATTTTTCTTTTCAAACCAGGCAAGCATGAATTTATGTCAACCTGATGCAGAAATCATGTTGCTACGGCAACTCTTCACCACATTAAATTATTGTAGAGTCAAAATGGCAGCAGGTTTCCTTCAGGAGATGATCAGAGTATCAGAGAGAGAAACCCACCCCAAAAACCCCTCCCAGCCATCCCACACCCTCAAAGAGCCTCCATCCCCTGCTTACCATAAGGGACTGAAGGGGGTGGACGCCAACTGAGTTTGGAGCCCAGAAGATTAGGGGATGGGGAGCCCCTGGTACAGACTCCTGGAAGAAGACACCTACATTCAGAGCTCTCTCTCCGTGACTGGACTTCACGTGGAGTCCGCACAGCCTGGGGGAGGGCCCCTGGTTGTCAAGCAGTGAGATCTCCCTAGGAAGACAGACCATTAGCGAACATCTGTTACTTTTCTTTTCTGCCCTTTCCCAACTTTGGGGCATGACAATTGCTCAAGGACAAGAAACGGAGCCCAATCCCAACTTCCTGCACAGGAGACTGTTTCCAGAGAGGCTCACTATGCGTTTTTAGAATCATAAGTAAACCGTGATGTGGTCAAGGATCTCTGGGCATCATTAAGTCCATGCCTTTGCCTGCAGAAAGATCTCTAAACATCCCACGTGGGGATTTGAACAGCAACATGAGAAGGGAGGGACCCCAGGCAAGAGGCCCTCTTGGCTTTGATCATTAGAGGGATTGGCTGTGGTCCCCACTCCTTGGCTTGTTTGCCGGATCATCCTGGGCAAGTCATTCGACCTCTGTGTGTTCATTTCCTTGCTTAAAAAAAAAAAAAAAATAGATCCGAAGGTTCTGACAAGGATGAAACAAGATAGAATCTGAGGAATGTATGGGTGATTGCTATTCACATGAAGGGGGAAGGTAGGGAATACAAAGCCACTTTCGTCCTTGCTCTTCCCTGTTTTCCTCCCTCCTTCCGTCTCTTCCTTCCTCTTCCTCCCCTTCTTTCTCTTTTCCTCTCTCTCCCTTCCTCTCTTCCTCCTTCCCTCCTTCCTTCCTTTCTTTCTTCTTTTTGTAAAAAATTCTACAAACCAGGGGCGCCTGGGTGGCTCAGTCGTTGGGCGTCTGCCTTCGGCTCGGGTCATGGGCCCGGGGTCCTGGGATCGAGTCCCGCATCGGGCTCCCTGCTCCGCGGGAGGCCTGCTTCTCCCTCTCCCACTCCCCCTGCTTGTGTTCCCTCTCTCGCTGTCTCTCTCTGTCAAATAAATAAATAAATCTTTAAAAAAAAGTAAAAAAATAAAAATAAAAAATTCTACAAACCAGCCTAAGATGTATTTTTTTTAGCATGTCCTCTGGACACAGTCCTCTCACATTTTCAGCAATTAGTTTAGTTTTAAGCGTCTGGGCATCGTCAGTAAGCACCTAGTCCGTTGCACCCTAGTCCTTGGGTTTCGTTGTCCATCACATTCCCTGAGAGCACCTGTTACACTAATCCCCAGTGCTATCTTTACCCTTCAACCTCCCTCCAGCCAATTGAATTCAATTCTTTATTATGCACATGACTGTGAGGTGTCTCTGAAAATTGCCTACACAGTACAACCTGGGAAGCTAGCTACCTGGGATTTCATCTACTCAAACAAGAAGTTGCCTTTATTATGGGAGTAACGAAATGTTTATTTTGGCTGAGTCAACACGGGGAGGTTTTTTTGTTTTTTGTTTTTTTA